ACCAACCCTTGTGTGTCAAGGGGAAATGAATAACACTTATTTATGAAAGGCGCATACTGGTGAAGGTTGCGCTATATCTCTAATTGGCAAAAGTTAGAATTGACGAGTCATTATTCGATTCCGGGCCAAGTTTCTGAACGAAAGAGTCAACAAGTTTGGTTTCTGGGGTTCAATCCCTAGTAGGGTAGGGTTGTGTTGTGGGTTGGCACTGATGAAGACTTACAGATTGGAACAAAACAGCTGTACGGTGCTCTCTGGTTTTCAGTAATCACTCTCTAACTGATGTTGGTTCGTGATGATGAAATCATATAATCAAAATTAACGCAAACGCCTACACAAATCTCATAATCTAAAACACTGTAAGCTTTTAAAAACAGAGATATTGTTCATTGGAGTCTGAGCGATTCAGTAATATGTGTATGTGTAGGCTTACCCTTCGAATCAGAATCCAAGAAGACAAATCAGCCGTGAAAAGACACGATATATATTCTTTCATATCAATGCCTATTGACAATTATGGACATCAATTTGATGTGGATAATGTCGAAATCTTAGACAGAGAAAACACCAAAAGTGCAGTCAGGGAATCGCTAGAAGCCTGGTACTCAAAAGAATTTGCTATTAACAAACACATTAATATAGACGAAATATACCAACTAATAAAAAGTGAATGATGTGACGAGAAAGTTTAAAATTCAAGTCAATAGAAAATGATCAATACATATGTAAAGATGGTTACCGGGAGACGCAAGGCTATCACTCATGGACAATTTAAATTAGTTCACTTTATGCTAAAAATTGTGCTGAAGGGAGATGTTGTCCAGAAGGACGACGATAGCCCCGCAACTAAACCAACCAGCTCAGAGAACACTATTAATTGCAAATTGTGTATATAAAGCATATCTTAAGGCTAGGGATTTTATGCAAAAAGTTATGAAGAGGGTAAAACGGAAGAAGATGGATTGAAAACCAAATGATTGAATTGTCTCTCAAGCCAGGAAGCAATTAATGCTAGTTGTTGACATTGAATTAATTATTGACTGTGTATTTCACAAACTGAAGATAAGTGTAACTAAGCGTGGATTCTGTAGTTTTATCAATTCAGTTCAGGCGACTAATTGAGTCTTCAGTGGTGTTGAGTTGTGGGTTCGTCTAACTTACCTAGAACGTCACCTTCAGAACACAACACTATGACCAGCTGATGATCACTTGAAGGCATCTATCACAAAAATGAGATAGATGTATAAAGAAGTTAGACTGGGGGGAAAACGACGTTCGGAACAACCCTTATTAGACAAAATATGTGTCATATTATAAGACCTGAGAAATGTAAACCTTAAATAGACGAATCTGATTGGTTATCTAACCTCAGAAAATTAAGCCATAAATAAACCAATCAAAACTGTTCAATATGGTTATCGTGTCAGTACATGCATTTAATAGTGACTTCACGGCCAACAAAGAAGCTTGTTCTGTTCATCCTAACGATTTTAATGAATAAGCTTGTTTAACTTGATATTACGAAAATTATTACCCTTGTTTTTGCTTAGTCGTTTTGTATTCTATAAAATATTTAGTTTTTTTTACTTGTCTCAGTGTGTGTGTGTGTTAAATTGCTTCAGCATTACTATGTAGTATAGGTGTAAGCCAAATCTTTTCATGATTATATGAGACACATTATGATGAAATACTATTCACTTGTCCAAGCACTTTTATTACTCGTTGAGTGTGTTTTTAAGGCAAGTTAAGTAACTATCTCTGGTTGATGACACTGCACTTTACTTCACACTAAGTTGTTATCATGTCCTCAGATTTGTTTGCTATTGGAATAACTCTGTCAGATTTCAAGCTCCTGTTTTGGTTACATTTACCGTGGAAATTACTGGAATAGGTGTCTCATCATATTTATGTGCATCGTTGTCCCTCAGACAGATAAATTAAGCAGCACTGTTAATACAAGTGACTTTCAGTTAGTTAAAGCTTAGAAATGATTTTTAAGTCATAGACGTCCACTGGGTTAATCGATGATGGTCAGCATCTTGCACTTGCTGGATCTGAAACCTAGGACTCTCTGGTTACAAAGTAAGCTTGTAGACCACTGAGCCACTACCGCCCGACTAAATGGCCAATGAATTCCATCATCTGCGAATTTGCGATGTATAACACAATTGCCGGTGACTGAATGGTTCACGAGGTTGCCCCGTAACTTGAATGTCCTGGGTTCCAACCCTGGACGATGAGTCGCACTGAATAGTCTCAGTTGTTCAGTACTCCGTAGTTTTCCACGGATTCGTTAATTGGTGTCATCTCGTGATCAGAGCTATTATTATTATTATTGTATCCTTTAGTTCCTAGAGGAACATAGGGCTTCAGCTGCGCACCTCCATTGCCTTCGGTTTTCTGACAACTTTTTCACCCTGCTCCAGGTCTGTCCACATGCTTTCATCTCCTCCTCGCATGACCTCCTCCAAGTCACCCTTGACGACCAACTCGCCGTCTCCCTTTCGGGTTCCACTCGAGGGCTTGTCTAGTGATGTCACTTGATGGTTTCCTCAGCGTATGGCCACCAATCCATCTCCATTTCTTTCTGCCTATTTGTTTCACAATCGGTTCCTGGTTGGTTTGTTCATTGCCACAGATCTCTTTTGCTGATCTTTTCTGACCATCTGATCTTGAGTATTGAGCGGAGACAGCTGTTAATGAAGGTTTGAAGTTTGTTTGAGATGCTCTTTATGACTCGCCAAGTCTCTGATCCGTATAGTAGCACTGACTTCACATTGGAGTTGAAAATCCGGATGTTATTTTTGATGCTGAGTGCTGTTGACCTTCACACAGATTTGAGAGTAATGTAAGCTTGTCTTGCTTTTCCGATTCTGGCTTTGATGTCCCCGTCAGTTCCGCCTGTAGTTGAGCTATACCCAGTCAAATTCCTTTGCAAATAAGCACTTGAAAATGATTATTTTTCATAAATCAATGCCACCTGTTTTTAGATCACTGGGAAAATATAACGCGGTGGCGTAAATCATATTTCATCATGATGTAGTGAATGAAATGCAATTCCTTCAATTTATTGGATTTAACTAATACTCTTGATTTCAAGTTTAATCACTGACTGATGTTAGTTAGAGTATTATTGAAAGCCACTTGTTTCGTGCTACCTCGGGACTTTTCAGCGGCGTGCACCTATTGGAATAACTGTCCAGTAATCCATGGTGGTTTTCACTGGTTCTTTATTTGATATCAACCCATAGTCGAACTTGAAGCCAGTCAGATCCTTACAAACTAAACATGGAAAATACTCTTCATTCACAAATTTCGAAGCAGGGTTGTTTTGAATACACTTTGGTAACTGCGTGAGTAAAGGGTAGACTTCATGCCTGACTCACAAGTCATCATCATAATAGTGTAGAAACTGCACTGCAGTTGCTGATAGTGACTGAAAAATAGATTTGCAAGCGTTTTATTCCCTTAACGTCACATATCAGTCTATTGTTGGGGAAGAAGGGGTTTTCCTCATTCACATTCTTGACACTTTTGTACGTACACACCCACCATGATAGAGGATACTGTGAACAGTTCTTCTTCGGGTGTATGTTGTTTTATTAATCCATAAAACAGTGATTTTTATGTAATAATTAGCGATTAGCAGTGAGTAGGTCTGTTTGTCTGTTTACAACATAGCACTTTTGCACCGATGTGCGGCAGTTCAAGTCGCCACACTCCCTCCATGTAGCACACAAAGCAAGAGAAGAAAGTAGAAGAAATGCATAATAGAGACAGAAAACAGAGGTGTGAGACAAAGGAATTGTAATAACGAACAACAATACAGTTTCATTGGAAATTATAAGTCATGAGGAGTGGATACATCTGAGCCAGTCATTGACAACGATTTTGAGCCATATCGCCATCAGTTGTTTCGAGCCTTTATTGGTTTTTGTCGTCCCGAGGACCTCAAACAGTAATGAAGTCTACACCTTCCTACGTGGTTGGCTGACTTAAACTAACTGTTTTGGATTTCATCGACTGGTGGCATGTTATGGTTTGACCGCCGCTGGCTCTTTTTCAGTCTGACCCTATGTCACCTAACATTTCCCATCGAGGAAAGTGGTGGATGGCTATGGATGCTTGCGTAACACATGTCCTAACCACCCCACTGAGTCGATGTAATTCCACAGCCTCGTCGATTGACTTCCCCTCCTTGCCTAGAACTCGACAGATGTCTAACCTCAATATTCCTCATCTTATTATTCCACTTCACACGGGAGATAGAACTCAAACACCTCTGATCGAAGACAGCTAGCCAGGCTTGTCATATCTTTCACTTTCAATGACCATGTCTCACTCACAGCCGTTAAGGAGAACCGAAAGGACTGTTGAGCAGTGCACACACCGTTTGGTCGATGGCCAGCTGAATATTACGTCTACTAGGCCAGAGACGGCGTAAACTTGCATATGCGAAACTAGCCTTCTGTATCCGTGTTGAGATTTCATCAGCGATCAACCTGTTGGCGCTGGCTGATGCAACTTCCCGAATAAGTGAAGCGGTCAACGCGCTCCGCCAACCACTTCACTCCCTATTTCTGAACTAGGAGTCAGTGTATTCCAATCCTGTAGCCCGATCATCTTACATTTGACAGAAGCGGGTGAATTGCTTGCCAAACATTCGTAGGTTGTAGCTCAAGGTGTTCAGAAGACTGCACTTTGTCAGCATCTTCACCTAGGAGGAAGAACTATATGCTCTGCATATTGTGAGTCAAGGAAATTATTCCCTGGTAGGAAGTCAATCCGTGTATCTCTGAAGTGAGTAGGTACTCGGGAATGAGTACGCTGACATTGGGTTTTAACAATTGGGCATACTCGTTTAAAGTCAAACGCCTCAACAGTAGTGATGGATCACAGGTTACTTAGAGTCGTTTTATTTTAATGTTTATTTGAAGTTTATTTGTGATCCAATTAGTTTTTTGTTTTCACGATTTTCTTACTTTTTCTTTTTTCTTTAGAAATCTGGCGAACAACTCCAAATTTCCAATCCTTTTTCGATCCATCCTTAGCTTCATCATATATGTCACAATCGGGGTATAAGAATCAAAATCAATCACAATCCAGAGATACAGTTATTCATCATTCTTCCTCTCATGCTAAATTAACAGAATAAACAGGTTATATCTAACTCTCAAATTAACAAATGACTATTGTTTTACATCTCAGTCGATTGATTCAGTTGAGAGAGAGAGAGAGAGAGAAACACAGAGACAGATATACAGATAGATGGATAGATAGATAGAGAGAGAGGATGATGTAATTTTCATTTTTATGTCTCTATGTGCAAAACTGTGCAATCAGTAACACTGAAACCATATTTAGTCAGGTGTGTTTCTTGCGGGCGGGGGGTGGGATAATGCGCGTAACTAGATGGATATTCTCAACCATGAAATAACGTGTCGTCAACCTAGCTCCTCCTATTGCAAACACTATATATATATATATATATATATATATATATATATATATATATAATCATTATACTCGTAGACTCTTTCCTAGTATTATGACAACTGATGTCGTTATTATTATTATTATTAGGGTAAGGCGTTTCACTGTGAGTCAAAAAAAAGAAAGTGTTCTTGTCATCACCTCACGCGTTGTCGTTTGAGTGTTCTACCTGGTATAATTGTGTACGACTTTTCATAGTATAGCTAAGTTTTGATTGATTAGTTGTATAAGCGCACGAGGACGAGGATGTTAAATCGAGCGAGAATCGGGAAGGCGAGTGAGAAACACATTCATCAATCAATCTGAAACCAATCTGGAAATCTTCGTCACTCAGCCAGAATCAACAAAAAAATTCAGTCGAATTTTCAATACAAACCACGTCAAGTCAGTTAGTTCTTCTTTCTATATGGATCAGAAAGTTGGCGGGCGGGCGGGCGGGTCACAAAGAATATTTCCGACAGCCTGTTGCATGCAGACCTTTATCAACCAACAACTGTCTTCGCTGGATCTATACTGAAGATGAGATGGCCGGGTGGGAAAGAATCACCAACAAGAAACTCTGACTGGGAACAAACAAACAAACAAAACAAGAACCAATCGCCAACCAACAAATAAATATGCAGGAGAAAGTGGAGATGAATTGAATGGAGACTCGCTCGCCGAGGAGGCGGCTGGGTGACATCGCGCGCGTGTCAGGCCATTGATCGAGTGGAACCAGGCCGAAAGGGAAGCGGCGAGTTGGTCGTCAGTGCATGAGTGACATGGATGAGATTGTGTGAAGAGGAGTTGAAAGAGTATGGACTGACATGGATGGAGGTGAAAAGCACAGCAGAAGACAGAAGGAAGTGGAGACGTGCAGTTGAAGCCCTATGTTCGACTAGGAACCGAAGGGAACAGTAATAATTATAATAATAAATTATGCTCACTATCTATAAGGTGTTCTACAACAGAACTACGAATAGATCTTGTTTGTCCTTTGCGTAACCATGTGGGATCATGTTCGGAAATACGATGATGAAGGTGCCCAATTGTACACCCAATGTAGCTAGCTCCCAGCTGCAGTCAAACTGGTAGATACACATAGAAGAGGCAAATTTCAAATGTGTATTGATTTTCTACTTCGGTTGCGACGAAGGAAAAGTTTATTAAAACAATTTTAAGAGTTGGAGATGAGTTTCCTGAGTTCATCAGATGTTCTGTTACTGAACTACAGACACACTCACCTTTTACCTTTGCTGGCTAGGTAGGATAGTATTCCCAAGTGTGTTTAACAAGCGGATTTATGGTACGGTCAATGTACTCAACTCTAGAGCAGCTAGTGAATTGGTTTATGCATGTGTAGGTGGCTGTATACCATGGTTCGTCTTTCACTTGCTGGCTGGTTGAATAGTTTCTTGGAAGAGCATGTCACTCCGTTAGCTGGCGGCGAAGTATGTTTTACTGCAAGATTTCGAAAGCCGTTTACGGAGAGTTTTTGCTTCAGGATCACTTTTAAGTTCGAGACTCATCAGCAGAATCTTTTGAGGGCCAACCTGAATCTGTTCAGCAGCTTTCATTGTTTTCAGGTGCTTGTCTATAAGTCTGAGTGCGACGTCACCAAGATACCGCGAAGATTTTGCAATTCTTCTTCGATAGATTCCTTGGTGGAAAGAGAGTAGATGAGATTCGTCTTTCCGCTTAGAGAAATAGGACTTTGAAAATTGATGAACTTTCCATTCCATGGCGGCTTTTCGTAGATCACTCCCTCGGTCCGTTTCCAACATTTCTTCTCAGTTGAATATCAAAGGAATGGAATATACCGGGAGATTCCCAACTTCTAGAGTAGAGTTTATATTGACTGAGATGGACTTTATTCGAAGATTTGTAAGCAGCTTTGCGAGAACCAAATTTTCATCACAAATAATGAAATTATCATCCGTATATCTCTAGTAGAAATGAAGCCTTTTCGATAGTCGGTGATAAGAAATTGTTTTCTAGGCTAGCTAGCTAGCTATGAAACACTCGGCTAAGAGGAGTCTATTGCTTCCATATCTGTTTGCATGTAGATCAGAGTAGCAGCTTTTCTTTTACATAATGATTCGGTGTACCAGTATTAGTGCTATTAGATTCAATGAAGGCATATAAAAACATATGGTTTCTGTCAGTGGAACATTGCTAAAGAGAAAGATGACATCTAAGCAGACCATTCTTTCATCTGCCAGTGTCACATTCTTAATTGAATGGACAAAATCGAGTATGTTCTACAGATGTTATCTCGATAGCTCTCCCTTCATACATCCTCTGCATGTTCCGATCAAACCTCTCAAAGGTAGTGAGATAGCTGAAGTGAAAATTGTTTGTTTTCCCCGAAGTCATCAACTTGTCGGTTCATTTATGAATATATGTAATATTCTTTTACAAATACACTGTACTTTCGATCGTGTCTTTGTGGGTTTTCGCTTAAGTAGCGGCTGAAAGGTTGCCTGGCTGTTGTAAACGTTGTTGGCTAAGTCCAGCGATATTCGGGATTGCCGCATCGGCTGGGCGTCCCTATTTCAAATGATCAGAATACTTATCTTCATTTGTGGTTTGGAGTCTTCCAAGTTTATGGACATAGGAACACGCTCTTTTGATAAGAATTGAGCAAGACCTACAAATGAAGGCGAATATTGTTTATAGATATACCTTCACAAATATAACACCTAAGTTGAGTCTGGCGATCAGAGCGCAGCAGGATTTCATGCAGTGCATCCAGTATTGTCGACGCCGAATCCAATGTATCGTTCTCAGCAGGAAGCTCCCACACCATTACTGGCAGTGCAACAAGTGGGATTATGTGGAGTTCTTTCCATTCAAACATAATAAATGCCAGTGTTGCAATGAAATCGGTCACAGAGATGGATATCATAGAGAAAGTAATGGACAAAAGTCAAGAAGCCGACCTCAGCGGCTCCCCATGCCTCGTTCAATAGGCATAACAGTCACTTATAATATCAGCCTCCGTGCACCACGGAAATACACAAATGTTACACATTTCCAAATCGACACAGCATTCAACGTGGCAGCACTATCGAAGAAACTATGGTAGACGTTAGGATGTGCCACCACAGCCCAGACACAGCAGTCAGCGCATGCGGCGGGAGACTTTGTCTGAATGGAAAACTAGAATGTGCTGCCAGTTTCCGTGATATTCAATTTACCAGCACATGCTACGTTTATATCCCAGACTTCGGTCTGTTGGATTTCGATTGGTTCGAGGAACTGCGGTTCTCAGAGGTCACGTTAAACAGTATGTGCCACAAGGTCAAAACTATCGAGCCCTCAAGATTAACTGAGAAATTCGGAACTTTTTTCCAGTCAGAATTGTGGTGTTGCAACACAATGAAGGTGGTTTTACAACTGTCACCTGGCGGGATACCAGTTTTTTTTGACCAAAAATACCTTTTCCATACGCCTTACTACAAATTGTGGAGGCGAAGTTGAAACGTTTAGAAGAAGCAGGAGTTACTACACCAGTAACATATTCGTTGTGGGAGGCTCCTATCGTGGTTATTGAAAAAGCAAGTGGTACCATATCTATTTGTACTGGTCTCTCAGCAGGTCTGAGTACAGCTCTAAAAGAGCACCACTATACACTGCCAGCACCAGACAATTTGTTTAGCACCTTCCCCCCCATTATGGCGGAGGAGTCTTCGCAAAGATTCATTTAGCTTATGCAGATCAAAGTTACAGAGGAGTGCTGTGAGTTATTAACGATATATATATCCATTGAGGGTTATATGAATATATCAGTTTACCTTTTTGTATCAAGATGGCTACCGCTATGCTTCAGCCAACTGATGAACACAGTCCTAGCCTGCATCCAAGGAGTCGCTACGTATTTGGAAGATATTTCGATAGTCGCAGAATAATTAAGATAGAGAATAAGACGGTTGCTCCAGAAGATCCCTTACAATGGAATGTGGCTGAGTAGAAAATTGTCAGCTTTTCCTCCATTCCTTAGAGTATTTTGTTTTATCTTCGATGATACGGTTCAGAGAACATTCTTACATCAAGTTCAAGCCTGTCCCTTGTTCTGGATGATTAGCTACTACTCAACTTTCCTGCCATCTTTGCATAAAATCTGCAAACCACTCAACCTCCTGTTACAATAAGACCATCCTTGGATCTGGTTCAAATGGTGTAATGAGGTCGTCTAAAAGTTGAAAAATCTCCTTGGTTCGGAATTGTTACAAACACATTTCCATCCGAAACTACCCATCTAAGTCGCAGCTGATGCTTTAGCTACATGATTCGGTGCAGTTTTACTGCATGAATTTCCTGACAAGACACAGAGGGCTGTTTTCTGTATCTCTCTCGCGTTAGCCTATGGAATCCGAAGGTTTCATAAGATGCTATGCAGTAGAAGATTTATCTTACTGACATTACAAACCCCCGTACCGTCAATATTTGTGTCTGAAACAGGTCTGCCAGTCCACTCAGCTAACAGACTGCAAAGATGGGTGGTGATTCCTTTGAGATATGGCTTTAACATCAGATATCATTGAACAAAAGATTTCGGCCACACAGATGCACTATCACGTCTGATAAGCGGCCGCCCGTGGTCGAAGGAAGAATCAGTGATTGAGATTGTGAAGACAGAAACCTTTGTTGAGAATCTGTCAGCACTCTCTGTGGAGCAGT